ATGGTAGATGGGTGCGTATATTCTCGGCTCTAATCTTCATCATGACTTTGATGCTCGTCATCCGCAAACATCTTCGGTAGATATAGTTTTGTGTTCTCGTATACTAGGAACGTGACGACCGTGGTCGGGATGACTCGTAGCGTGTTGGGTATAACACTGCGATGGTTAGCCTTACTATCCTTCAGATTCCAGAGCGTAGGAGCTTTCTTACCCCTTGTAAAACGCCAGGAACCCTTCGTTCTGGTACGTCTTCCTGAGCACATCTAGCAGGCCGTTGTACTGCTGTGCAGCGTTGTATTGCTGCAACCGCGCGCGTATGGGTTGGTACGGGTACGTGATTGCTCCAGCAAGCAGCTTGCTTCCACCGCTCATATACACATATTCCCAATTGCTCAGCTTGTCTTGCCCGCCGATATGCGTCCCCCGTCTCTTCTTCATATTCTCGTATATGCTGAACTGTACGGCGCCGTGCAGCACACCCAGCGACGAAGGCAGGAAGCCTGCCCAAAGCCCCTTAAGTCCTCGAGTTTCGTATACGTGTTGGAGGCCAATTTTCATGGATTTGTATGCGGCAGGGTGGTTTGCGCCGCGCTCGAGCATGCGCGTTTTCACTACCCAGATAGGATTCGTGCAAGCACCGGTGAGGAGACCTAGCAAATGGTTAACGATGCCCATAGGAGTTCCGTGTCTCCAAACATACCAGCGATGATGCTCGCAGAAAAGAACTCGGCACTTCCCAGATGCTCGCCCTTCTGCCTCCTACTCTGGAACAATTCTTTCAGGTTTCCATAGAACAGGAAGTATAGACCCCAACCCAGACTGTTGCCGAGAAGGTTCGGCCATAGTCCCCTGTATAGTGCGCGTACGCCTCCCTCATCTCTGATTACGTTTCGTAGGATCCGATAAGAGTCGCCAGGTCGCGATCGACTGGTGGTGTTGAGTTGGAGGCGGTTCTTCAGCAAGTCGAGTGGATGGGCAGCGAGACAAGAGACAACGCCAGCGCTGAACCCGGCTACACTCTCAACCAGGGATGCTGATAGAGCGCTCCTAGGCACGTTTGCTCGTTTCGTTTTATCATTTTGCTCTACGGGTGGGAATGCGCGGGGCATTGCGGGTTCGGGTGGTGGGCCGTCCAAATCGGCAGGAACATCCTCAGGCTCGGTGGGATGAAGATGGTGCTGGGGACGTTGCGATATCGGTGCTATATCATCGCGGCTGCTGTGCGTTACTGGAATCTGCACCGATGATCGTGGAGGGGAGAAGATGTCGGATGCGGACTCGGTGGAAGCTTGGGCCCACCTGCGGAGCTACTACCCGCGAACACCTCGCGTGGGACTACGTCACCGCACGTGGCCGACACTGTGAGCAATGCAACATGTCGCGATGGTCTGCCTGGGCGGCACTTACACGTTTCACCAAACTAGAGAGCTGCGATAATCGCTTTAACAAAGGGAAGGCTATATTTTTAACATACTAAACATACACAACAAGATCAAACTACACACCCGCACCAAACTTCTGGTCCGAGCAACAAGTCGCATCCGCCGCGCTCTCAGGCTTCTTCTCCTCACCAAACGCCATACGACTCAACTTATCCACAAGCGTACTTCCCTGCTTAACACCGCTCGGAACGCTGCAATAGCTGGGCGGAATGTCCATACAAGGATTGCGTGTGAAGAAGTTGCGTGGTCGCAATAACAGCGTCATGGGCTCAGCGGGCATAATCGGAAAGTCTTCTGGTGATGGGAAATGCGTGATTCCGAATGTGTGCCACAGTACGACATCGGTGTTGTCGAGGTTCTCGTTGGGGTTGGCTTCGATCCAGGCGGGTATGCCTTGGGATGGCTCGCCAGATGTTTGCGGAACGTGACGGCCTGCTGGGTGGAGTTGTGTGTCGTCGTCTATTGTAGGTCAGTCAAGGGCTTCGTACGTAATTCTCTGGTGAAACTCACATTTTGTGACATGTACCGCATGCCTTGCGAAACCGGCGCGCTTCCATACCAAACTTCCAGGCTTGGGTAGTAGATCGGGAACCTCTCTGCTGACTAGCTTGTATGAAGCTGGCTTCTTGCTGTATGGGTTGAGCTTGTTCGTATTGGCCATCTCCCATGTCCTGCTGGTTGCGCCGTTGTAGTCCGTTGCCGCCTGCTCAGGGGTGCTGAGCTTCGTCTTCTTCGCGTAGAAAGCGTTGCCGTATTTGTTCTCCGCGCTACCGACTTCGCCTTCTCCGCGCATCGCGTCGACCATGAAAACAGTGTTCTCCGGTCCGTCAATGTTGGGATCGATGCGCATACAGAAGAGATGCTGGTGGTTGTGCGCGTTCACTCCGGGGTACACCTCAGTTCCCCAACCCTTCAGATCCTCGCCAGGAAGCATCGCGTAGGTGTTCAAGATACCCGTGAGTTTGATCTCCAGTTGGATTGTTCCGTCAAGGTGGAAGATCCAGTACACGCAGTACTCATAGTTCGCGGCTGTGAAGATTTGCGAGATTATGAGTTTGCGGGCACGAGTAACAGTAACACTGTCATCGCGGAAATCTGTGTGCTTGAACAGGATACCAGCATCTTCTTCGTGGATGCAGATAGCATTCTTGATCGTTGTAGCCTGTCCGGCGCGGTTGACAAAGGCAGCGTCCATGTAGTGAATCGCACCCTTGCAGTCACAGCCCAAGCTAAGCGAGTTGGTCATGTAGCCACCGCCGTATTCTCCCAGATCAAAAGCGTGCTTACGCTGATGTGGGTGTTCTGGGTTGCCATAAGGTACGACCATCTCTGCGAGCGACAGGCGCCAGAAGGTATCGCGAACGGTGCCCTTGTCGTTGAAGGTGATGTTAGATAGAACAAGGCCTTCGCGGTAGTTGAAGCCAATGTGGAACTTCCAGTTCGCCCAGCTGATGTATCTGCCGTCCAATTTAAATGAGACGCCTTCCGGCTGTGTGATGTTGATCGGCTTCAGATCGGTCTTGAACCCACCCTCAGCCTCAATCGCAGCCGCGTGATAGTTGTTTGGCGGGGCCTGATTGAGCGGTCGCCGAACTGGTGGGACGTCGATATGAATGATCTCCTGGGTGTCGGAATTGTAGATTGGGCAGAAATCCAACGGGTACGTGTATTGGCAGTCATCGGGGTGTGGGCGGTAGTACATGAGCGCTTGCTGAAGACGAACTTTGGTGCCGAATCGCTCATCGTAACCAATCGTCCAGGGATCGCAGTACACTTTGTGCATGTCCTCTGGTGGAATGCCGATCAGGCCGCATTGTTCGATGACCTTTGGGTCTTTCCGCACAATCGTCTCCACAATCTGCAGGTCTTCCATTGTGATCTAAATCTAAGTCAGCAGAATGTAAACCACACTCGAGAACCCTCTCACGTACAAGTGGCTGCACATCATCAGTCAGCGCCCAGCTAATGATCTTGCCTTCGGTCAAATCTGCGTGTCCATCATACACTTTGCTGCCTCGGCCAATGCAGACTACATCAGCAACTCGATGCGGTCTTGGAGTGTGCTCAGGATCTTTGAGCCAGCTCATCATCTCCGCTTTACGCGGCTCCAGCAGGGTGATGGCGTTAAAGAACACATCGCTGTGCTCTTTTCGGATGATAGCGACTGCGCGTTCAATCTCTGATTCGCTCAAAGGATCAAATGGGTGTGGAGGCTCTCCAATTCCCGTAATATGCGAGGCAGCTTGCTTCAATCGATCGAGCGCCATAGTATGGATGAATGTGATGTGAGGGTGGTCGGATAAGGTTGGTCGCTCAAAGCCGTCAGGGTCCAGCGGGGTCTTATATACAGCAGGCAGATCAATGGTCTAACGGCATCGCAGCGCGATCTCAAATATCTTTCTTCGAATCGGATCACGGCCTATTGGCGAATCGGTCAAGTCATTAACGCATTGTATTATTCCCATCTGTCAACTCAGAGTCTTGAATGTTGTTATCAACACGATAAGAAGAGGCCGCGGGACTATCGCGCCTCTCTTGGTTAGCCTGCCCCACTTCTCCACGCACGTTGCCCTCTGGGCACGATGCACCGCGTGTATGACAGCTACCATCTCTGGACGCCGCACTGTTCATTCATCGTCTATTCATTGAAGCTGTGAGTGTCGTCGCGAAAGCCCGATGCAGTAGGTCCACGCGACAGGACGCTGGATGGGCAGGTACGGCGGTCTCGTCAAACGTCGGACAAGAAGGTCCGACTAGGCGGGCTGCGAACTCCGAGATCGCGATCTCCAGACTTGAGCGCCACATGGGGTCGCAGCTGAGCAGACTGAACATTGCTGTCTATGCTGGCCGCAGACTTTTTATTGACGAGCAGACCCAAAGCAAAGCACGTAAAGTTGAACTCGTCTACAAACGATTTACTGATTGTCTTGCATGCGAAGGCGAGTTAAGGATGTACGCGGCCCTACAACCCAGAGAGTATATCCTCGGTAGCCTTCTCGCTAACCATCATAGTAGGCAATATAGGAAACCCCCCAGGCACCTTCGGAAAGGCGCTTGCATCTACGACTCGCAGGCCCTTCGTTCCTCTCACTCGGAACTTACTATCTAGTACCGCGAACTCATCTCCTTCAGCACCAATCCTACAACTGCTACTAGCATGATGGCTATACGCTTGCTCCTTGATATATGTCTTCTGGCTCTCAACCGTACAGTTCTGCTTCCCAATGGTGCCCTCGCAAGGGTGGAGTTCTTCGAAAGGTGCTAGCGAATCAGGTGCAGACGGGTCCACTTTTGACAGCCAGGAACGTACCCATTCGACGCCTTCGTATATGGCTTGGAGATCCTCGTCTGCTCCGTGTTTGAAGAAGTTCAGATTGATGGCCGGCATGTCGCGCGGATTAGCGGATTGGAGTTCGACTGTGCCGGCTTGCGAACGCGGGTTCATGTGGACCATTGCGCACTCGTATTGTGATGGACCATATGTCTCGTTGAAGTACGGGAGCCGATTGGGAAAGCTATCGGAATCGTTAGCGCATGTGTAGAAAAGGCGGTAGATGCTTACCCTGGCCAGAAACCTTCGAACGCGAATGACCCACACCACATGTAGATGTCGCGAATGCCGAGCTGCGAAGTGGACGTCTTCCAGAAGTTTGGGAAGATTTCCGACATGCCCGTAACGGCACGCTTACCGAGTGACAAGATGCCAGCCTCGTAGTTGTCGGCCATCTGCCTACCCACACCCGGTAGCTCTACCATGGGCGAGATATTGAATTTCGTGAGTTGATCGAGCGGGCCAATCCCAGAAAGCATAAGCAGTTGTGGTGAGTTGAACGCGCCACCAGAAAGGATGACCTCTTTAGATGCGAAGACTTTCCCAGCAACGCCTTTGGCATCGGCATTAGAACGAGGATCAGCGCTATACAAGCTCTTGCCCTGGAGATACTCAATACCGATTGCTCTAGGTGGCCCTGGGGAGATCTTGTCGAAAATGATCTTCGTGGCAAGTGTATCCAGCGAGATAGTCAGCGGATATTTGCCAGAAGCAGCAGTGTCTCTGGCGTAGTACCCCGGAGACGACCGGCGTCCATTGGGGTTGATGTGGCTGACACCACCGAAAGGTCCTACGAGCTGGTCGCGATCTGGCTGCGCACCATTCATATCGCGCTGCAGCAACGTCGAAGCGGAAGAGGCAGGGTAGCCGGCGGCTTCTGCAGCGAGTTCACTGAGCTGTTTGGCATCCGCACTGGAGGTGTAGCCTGGGTCTAGCATGGTCATATCGAGCCAGCCGTCGTGACCATGCTCGTATGTGCTGTTGTAGTGCACTTTCTCGAGCTTGATGAGATACTTTCTCATATTCTCATGTGACCATGAGTCGTCTCCGGTCATTTTCGCGATTTCGTCCCAGTCTGCATCGTTGGGGTTCATGGTCAAGCAGCCGTTGTGCATCGCACAGCCACCCAAAGTGCCTGCGCGCGGATAGTACTGGATTCATAGTCAGTCCCTGCTCTGGTCTGTTGAGTGGGGCTGTGATCACAATTCCAAGAGCTTCGGAGTCTGTAGGCGGCTCGATGCCGACGTAGAACCCTCCATTAGGCTTACGCCACGTTCGATGCAAGTACCTCGCTTCCCTAGCCTCGTCATCAGAATGCTTCACGAAGAAGTCCCAGCGCTATGCAAACTCTTAGTCATGTCTCTACCACGATGTCGCTTCTACTTACTGTAGCGGGATCGTTGCCAGCTAGGTTGAAGTTCAGCCAATTCGAAACATTAAGGTTCTCCGTCTGGTCATCCCCGGCTTCAAGAAGTAACACGGAGTGACCGGCTCTAGCGAGATTGGATGCAAGCGGTCCACCGCCAGGTCCAGAGCCTACGACGATGTACTCATAGGTCTTGTTGTCGATTGACGTTGCCACTACCGCTGTCGCACAGAGAGCTACAGCCGCAATGATTGAGCGAAGGGGAGCCATGATGGATGATGCGAAAGTGAAATTGAGCCAAAAGGTATCCAGTTTGTAACAATGGCTAAAGCCGAGCTCAAGTATCAGCTCTCTTCCTATTCACGTTGACCGATGGTTGTTGACCTGCCAATATCGCCGGATATGCAGGCACAGAGCGCAATCAATGCAAGGCGATTAGCCCGCCCGGGTCGACCAAGGCGTTAGATAAGTCTGCTTCCTCTTTCCAACAAGATGGTGAGAGAAGATTCGTTCGCGTAACATTTGATGCATATGTTCCCTAGCTCCCGCTCCCCTGGCGACAGTGGCTGGACTAAGACATCGATGCTGATTCGCCCGGTTATAACGCTGCATATCGTGCTGCATACCCGATCAAGCGACGAGACTATATTGCTGAAATGTCAGCCTTCGTGTCCATGCGATAAACAACATGGAGCCTTGAACGGTGAGTCGGTAGATGCAATGTTGGAAGCAGAATGTAAGCTCGGGGCTGGCTGCTCATTCAGCGACGTCAACGTGACACGAACATAGTCATCAACATCTTGACAACTTAGAGGTAAACGACGAACTATATCGTTCTTGATTTCATACCTACACTGCAACAAATCTCAGTTGCTACATTCGCTCGACAATTTTTCCTTCTCCGTCCCCAGACATATCCTCTGTTGTTCCGCTAACGTCTCCGCCACCTTCCAGCCTTAGCCGACAATTTCGCTACGCCAAGTTGCCCTGCTCTTGCTTGCGTGCTTCTCGATATGGCGCTGCGCCTCCTCCTTGAACTGCACCTCGTCCCAGTGGTAGTTGAGAGTGACGACAGTGTTGATGGGGTCGCTGAACTCCGGCACAAGCAGAAGCGAGTAGATGGTGTCGGTCACGTCTTTGGTTGAAGTGTCTAGTGTCCAGTTGCGGTCTAGAATCGAATGGCAGATGCGTCCATGACGGTTGATGTTTGGATGGTAGATGGGCGTGATGAAGCGTGCTTCTGGTGGTGACATCGGGTATTTATCACCCATCTCCAAGTAAAGGAGGAAAATACCACCGGAGTATGTACTATCGGGTGGACCTATCCAAGTTAGTACGAAGTTTGGTAAAGACAACGGAAATCTTCTTGGAAGACGAAATAACAGTTGACATACCTTGCATGACAACCTTCCAGAGCCCCATGTTCGATTCGCAGATGAAGACGTCGTAATGCGGATGCGGCTTGGCGCCTGAGTTACGAATCTCATTATGAATTCTGCTCAGACGTACATTGCCGTCGGTACGACTGTTGGATGAGCTTCTGCTGAAATGACCGAGTTCCACAAATGACTCTGCGAGCTGTGGATGCTTCTTGCGCTCTGGAAACTCGTCGCGGCTGATCTGCTCAACCTTACCCATGCGCTCAGCGAAGCGGAAGTTGGAAGGATCTGGATTTGCGAGATAAGTGCGGAGATGGATAGAACCTTTGTGAGACATGTCTGGACGCTCTGACAAGGAAAGTACGGGTTCCATCTCACAGATCGCCATAGCTTCTTCAAGACTATTTGGTTGGAAGACGTATCCACCCGTCAGGAACGAAACCCTCTTGAGATCGGCATTATTAACTCCCTTCCCCAAACAAAATGAGTCAACCACGATGCCATCGCGTAGTAGACTTGCCGGTAGGCTATGTGCCTTGTTCGTAGATCGGTTGTCCTCCCCGTCGGAGATGCATATGATTCTCAGCTTCGCATTTGGGTATTGCTTGGCGTACTCCTGAAGCTGGTCCTGCGCGAGAGCAATGCTGTCCCAGATGGCCGTGTCTCCCGCGGGAGTCATATCGTTGAGTTTATGACGGAAGTTCTCAACAGCGTGGGTGATCTTCTGCGAGACGGAGGACTTGGTGCTGAAAGTAACCAAACCAAGATGTGCTCGGAAGTTGTATGCGAGCAGACGATTTACGTACGCATCGAACATCTGTTTCAAAACGTCCAAGCGGTTCAGTGTATTACGAGCCTTGCTAATATTCCATGGCTGCGTTCCCAAGCCTATCTTGAGAACCAATGGGAGGTTGCCACCTGCTGTAGCTTGACGGTTGATATCATCGGAATTGTCGTCGTTGAGAGGGTCGTCCACCATACCCTCTTTCTCCAGTTTACCAGTACAAGTACTGGTACTGAAGAACCGTGATATTGGCTTCCAGTGATCATCCACTGTGCTACCAGTTTTGTGGCCATCTCCAGTGTTCCGTAGCCCTTTCCAGAATACGAAAGGCTGCTCAACTTGGTATGTCGACTTGTTCATGAATTTCTCGCGATAATAACGGAACAACGTGGATGATACAGAGTTCGTAGTGTGTTTGGGTAGCCAGTACGACACAACACAGTCCTGATAGTTTGTATAACAGTAAACTTTGACGAGGCACAGCTCTTCGACGTCGCTGCTGTTGTTTGATACTGTCGGCTCTAGAGGCGAGATGAACACCTCGTAAGCTGTGTTGATCATACTCGTGATAGGTTCCTGGGTAGCCTGAACCCGGATGTTCCGATGTTGTAGCTCATAGCTCGTGTAGCGGCCTTTGGTCAACCGGAAGGCGATTTCCCATAGGTCCACCGCTTTCAGATTGTAGGGCACATCCATTGATCGGGTCTCGAGTGGGCTTCTGAAGGCGATGCGGGTGGTGCGAGCAGAGACCCCTGTTGTGTTGCGAGGCTGTGCACACTTTGCCATGATGTCTGAGCAATTCAGATATGCCTCGATCTGCTCCTTCTTCTCCATGTTAGGCCGTAGGTCATTGCTGGCAAGAACCAAGTTGGTGAACGGTGATCGTTCGTTGGTCCGAAGCCTGTGGAACAATAGATGTCAGCAGATGTTTGGGTGTACTCCTGAGAAGAGTGTTCATGATAAGAAGTCGTGATATCCACTTACCATCGTTCGATCTCTTTCCTCTCGTATGTAAAACCATCCACGGTGTATACAGGGTCTTGCATCACATCATTACTGATAGGACAGTGAAAATCGCGCGGTACCTCGAATTTGGGGCTGTCCGTTGGAGGAAGAGACTTGTACAACTTCGGCACACCATCGCCCGGTGTCCATACTAATGGGTCTGACGCGGACGCATTGCCGAGGCAAGTAATCAGCCATGCACAAAGTAGACTCTTGTACTTTTGTAAACGTAGAGACCGATTGTTGAGAGTGTTGATCTCGCGATCGATCAATTCCGATTTGTTTCGAAACCACTGTTGGCTGGCTCGCTGCCCGAGACGTTCCAGTTCTTCCCGTTTTGCGCCTATCTGCTGATCGTGAAGTTGCTTAAGGATCTCAAGCACCTTCTCAGCGTTTTGACGGCGGTGGTAGTCATCTTTACCCGTGCCAACGATGGCCAGAAAGTCGGTATACGATTCGTGAGACTGTAGATATTCTTTCAATGTATCGACATCGGGTAACTCAAAATCAACGTTTTCTGCTGGAGTTTGGGAAGCGGCTGCGGTGGTCAGCACCGATCGTTGGATCTCTGCTTCGGCATCTTCGCTGATCTGCACGTCGTTGAAACCACAACGCTCTCGCATGCTTGAGCTTACGTCGACACATATCATTGTCAGTTCGTCCGGTGTCGTCATCGTGCGATGGTTTGCACCATATGCCTCGAATACAAGGGTTCCGTCAGCATTTCGTTGGGCGAGTATCGGCTCTAGCAACTGAGTGATGATAGAAACGTCCACTGCTTCTTCTTCTTCGACACATCCCGGTCGAAACATGAGAATGTCTCTCCCTGCCTCAGCACAAGCGGCACGGCCCACGTATACCGCAAGAAAGCCATGTCTGTCTAGAGTCAAGACGGGAGCAGAGACAGAAGCTAGACTAGCAGGTGGTGTGACGCTCAGTTGGTTTCGGCTGCAGAGGTTGGCCAGATACGTGAGATCGACGTACTCCGCAGGCGAAATGATCTTGTTGACATCACCACCGTCCACATAGCGAGAGCTAGATCTGACGACATCGGAGTTGAACACCAGGACTTGGGTTTTGGTGCCGCCGGACACTTTAGCAATGCGGTCCCAGGTTTGATCGAATGTCGAAGTTCTCTTCGAGCTGACTCCATCCGTCCAGCACAAAAGTCCCTGTTTAACAAAAGCCTCGTGGAACCCCGCGTCGACGAGACCGGATGTTGTCTGCACTGGCTGTGACAATACGGGCTGCATCGTGGTCAGGTTCCGCAGGTCGTAAACTTTCATGTCAATATACGATAGCCGGGCATCCTCGTTGGTGATCTTCATCTGTTTGGCTTTCTCCAATATGAGACCGAATAGCAGACGAGTTCCTTCAAAGAACCGCTTCGGGTCGGAGCGGATAGTTTGAAGCGGAACAACATTCTTCAAGACCTCGTAAAGACATTGTGCCAGCGCAGCGCGTTCCGGAAGTCCTGGGGTCTCGCCGCGCATTAAGATATGTGCTGCTCGGATGGCAGGAGGAAATTGTGTCAGGACGTGAACCATGTGGATCACAGCGTCTCGTCGCTCGTCCTCCATGCTGCCGTTTGAGGTGAGCTCGGTGAACACGCGCAATGTGGATAGCAGGTTAGCTAGTCCACGGTCAGTCTGACCGGCATGATGCTTCCAAGCTTCCGACTGCTTGAAAATACCAGCTTTGCCTTGATCGATACGCTCATTCTGGCCCAGTGTCCATCGTCGTACAGCGTATATGTTGAGTACACCATTGATGGCGCAATCTTCTAACCCAGCGGCCTCGATCGTGATGTCGGCGTTATGTGCAGTGATCTCAAGTGGGCACTCTGATGTGTGCACATCAACGACTAGGTCCCGCTGAGCTACAGAATCCTCGTCGTCCTCGTCCTCGTCGGAATCCTCTTCTCGATCTTGGCGATGAGAATGGCATTGCTTCGAGCAGATGGCCACAACCGGAGCTTTGAGGTATGACTTGTCTCCCGAGGTCCGAATACTTGTATCCTCAACACCGTTGACGATATTTACATGCTTGTTGACCAGATCGTGGTGCTGCGTGTGCTCCATATACGCCCTGGTTGACTGCTGGATGGTGCTAAGCGTCATGTTATCGACAGGCATGGCGACCACTACATTGTTGGAGTGAACGAGGATAATTGTGCGAAGAGGGTCGTAGTCCCCGAATCCGTTGACGTTGAAGATGGCATTGTTGTCGATCTGTCGAGCCAGGCTGCAGTTGCACTCTAGCGCTGGACAGTCGCCGTCCTCAGCGGGGAAACCCAAATGTTCTTGAACGAGGCCTTTCAACTGTTTCAGAGTGCAGTTGGTCGACACGTGCATCGATATCGGGGGGATGGCTTCAGTATCGGACTGGGCCGATTCTGGAGTGATGACGCGAATGCGAAGCGTCTTTGATGTGGCGTCCGACGCAGCAAGTCTTAATGGTAGTGATAGACCGGGCTGCTCCTCGTGCAGCTGGAAGAAGTTAGTAGCGGTCGAATGTAAGCATTTACTGGGGCCTTACATGGACGACTGCATAGACAGTCTCTTCGGCGTTGAGTAGGACGTCAGACAGGAGATCCTCGACATCCAGCATTGGCCCGTCTTCTGTGTTCAAGTGCAGCGTAACCTGAGCCGCCTCCACGGTGGTGAGACCCAGAGCTGGCAGGCGCGACGCGACCCTGTCGTGTAAGGCTGAGCAGAGCTGAGATGGCGATAGTACAACGAGTAAGCTCGCTCTGCGCTCTCCCGCTGCGACTTTGACCGTGTATCTCGCCATGCTGTGCGTACGCAGGCAGTTGAACTGGCTGATGTTGGGCCCGTGGTGAGGTGAGGGAAAGATATTGGTGGGGCAGAGGTGGTACAGCTGAGGAGGAAAGCGCGCGTGGTCACGTGGGTCTTAGCAAACAATTTGGGCACTAGGAGACAAGAGACAGCCGCAGAGCCACACTTACTGAAGAAAACGTCGTGCATATGCCTATCCCAGTCATGCTAGCTTACGCAACACATGTAGTCTTCTTGATGTGTGTCAAACCAACTTGCTTAGAGAAAACGCGTGTTACAAGGAAGACGACCAAATGGCGGCGTGATCTGAAGGAGCCCTCCAAAGCTTCCAAGGTTACTGCAAAGCGTAAAAACAAGGTGATACGGCGCTTAAAGATGCAGCATTCGACAGCCCAGATGTGTGCGTGGGGGTATTGGACAAGCGTAATGATAGTACACCGTCGGTCCTGGCGAAACTCATGTACCAAGAGAATAGCTGAGAGAAGCGTGCGATACTTACTGATACAGAAGATAATAAGTTACCAGTATCCCACTTAGTGTCCACTCACATGTACGCGGGTAGTCGCGTCAATACATCGCTTCCCGATACTGCGGAATCTCCTCTTTGCTCATCTGGTATGATCAGCAACTTTATACACTCCCCCTTAAGCCAGTTCACGATTTCTGGTACGTTCTGACAACGAAGCATGATAGTGGCAAGAAGCCCGGAAGTAGCACGCGTAGATGATGTCAACAAACGAAGAACGCGTTCGTGCATCGCAACACTGTGGCCATAGAGCCTTACATTGATGTCGTTGCATCATAACTCCGACGTCCTCGTAATAAGGCCTGAGACTAATGGAGATGAGAGTGATGGGTGGCAGTCGGATATGATGAGAGAGTGAAGTTAGATGAAAGCGACAAGACACGTGTTAGCGCGCAACGGGGCTTATCGATAACAGCGCCGGGGAATTATCCAACTGTCCTCATGGCCCTCTACCAAACCACTACTTGCGCCAACCTGTCCTCTACCCACGCACATATCGCTACGGCCCCATAAACGTCCCACTCCAACATAAATCAAGCACACATCAATCATGGAGTCACCAGACACTTTCACGCTCCTCCCCCTCGAGATGGACCCACAGACCAGCACCATCACCGCACCCCAAAGCACCAGCAACGCCCTCCAGACCGAGCTCGACGCCCTAAACAACCTCCACAGAAATCTCCTGCACGTCGAAACGCCCACGGGTACACCGCCGCCACCTGTCCCCGTCAACCCCAAGCGTTCCGCCCAGATCAACAAGCTGCGCGAGTCGGGCAACGCCGAGTTCAGGAAAGGAAAGCCCGAAGAGGCGGGCAAGCTCTACACCCTCGCAATCGACATGGCGCTCGCACGCCCAGCATGGGAGCCATCAGGTCTCGTTAGGGAAGAGGTCTCTGGACTGCTCAGCAACCGCGCACAAGCAAACATGGCACTGAAGAACTGGGCGGAGGGCGCAGTGGACGCAGAGGCTAGTGTGGAGATGAAGAAGGTGGGCAACGCCAAGGGCTGGTGGAGGCGGGGCAAGTGCCTGCTCGAGATGGGCAGACTGGACGAGGCAGAGCAGTGGGTCAAGCAAGGATTGGAGTTCGAGGCAACAGAGCAAGATCTTGTCAACTTGAGGGACGAGATTGAGAGGAAGCTGAGAGGCGAGGTTTAGGTTGTTCTCGCCAGCGATCCGTTTGAGCACATGACATATGGAGGACGTCCGCCTCGTCACTTGTAGGATTTGGACTAGACGGAGGCGCAAGCTGGGGGCAGGGGTATACAGTGGTACTGCTAGTAGGTCTCTTTGATACGAGCATGAGCAGTGGGAGGATGGGCATTGGCAAGGCGTTTGGCGCTGGAAGGCGTATACCACACTTGAGCCTATGAGGCTTTGAGGCATTCATAGCGAATCCATTGGAATGAATTTCCAAAAATCAGGCTTGTCTCTTTCGTGCGCGTGATATTTAGTGTACCGAGCCCACCGGGGTTGTCACGTTCCATGGTACGCCTGCCAAGCTTTTTATAAAGTGATCCCACCTACAAGTCGCGCGCACCCCTTCCGACTACTATCACCAGAGAATGACTGCACAACATTGCGCCTCGCCATGAACGACGCTCAGCCACGTCAAGAGCGCGCAATCCGCACAGTCCCCTCTCACCGGCTCAGACACAGCAGACAAGCTCCATCCCACGCTTCTCCTCACCGTCACAAGCCTAGATCAGAAACACCTCACTCATTCCATCCACCAAATACACATACCCTACATAGCACTTCTGCACACCTACAGTACAGACTTGCTTGTCCGAAGGATTCAAACGGCGCGTTGTAGATCGCGAATCTACCTGGTCGCACAGGGCCAGCAACTTTTTAGGAGGGGTCAGGGGGCATTTCACCACAACGGACGTAGGGTATGCTGTTTTGGTGGTTGGATGTGAGTGAGGGCGACGCCGAATTGTTCCCAGGCTCCTGCGCTGCTGCCGCGTGTGGGGTTTGAGGTTGTTTGTGCTCGGACATGCTTGAGATTTTTGGTAGAGGTAGCTTTCTAGTAGCTGTATGGGCTCCATGTAGAAGAATGATAAGCGTTCTCCCGGTGACCCACGATGATTTGGTAGCGTTGGTTCTTCGGGGGCTGGATCTAATCTTCGGCCTGATAAGATGATCTGATAAAAGTCTCTGTTCTGCACTTTTCCTTCTTGGGATTGGCGTGGTGAGTCGGTCTTCGTGCTTCCCGAATACAGAACTGTGCCCGCGACTCCTGGAAAGTTCAGACAAGAACAACAGTCTAAGAAGACTCGTGGGCAAAGCTCTTGTAGTCCAAACAAATGCCAAGGTCGTTCTTCGTAGACACATCGAAAACATGACAACCAAGTGACCATACAAACCCAACAATGCGATATCGCACCCATCACGGTAATCTCCCGGTGGTATCAGGCCTTCGGCGTATACGAAGACGCACAGTCTCACACAGTGGACCCAACCTACATCTTGATGCTACCAAGCCAAAACGGCCCGCAAAGGGACCCGTCTTTGCCCTGAAGCGGAGCCATGTCGAGATTTTCCTTTCCCGTTCGGCAGTACTAAAATGGGGTCGTAGGCGCCGTCTTAACGCAGACATATCTCTTGTTTTATCAGATCATCTTTCACCTGCGATAAGGAGGGATGATGGCTGGACGACCCGATTCTGTGAGGTCGGTAGACAATGAGGGCCAGAGGCCGACTGAGTCCGAGAAGAAGGTTGCAGATGTCGTTGCTTGCAGTGATGCGTCGTCTGAGGGGCGGGGTGGCAGCGATAAGAGCGAGGCGATTCCGCTGAAGATGAAGCTTATTGCTATCCTTTTAGTTACGGCAACGGGGTTTGGGTCGCATTGGAGTAGTGGTGTTACTGGGGCGATGAAGAGTACGGTGAAAAAGGTATGATTACATGATTGCTGTTATGGGTACTCAGCTAACATTGAGAAGGAACTACATATCAACAACGCGCAGTACTCCGTGCTGGAAGCCAGCGAGGACTTCATGAAGACAGCCCTGATTCTTGTCAGCGGTCTTGTCACAGATAGGATTGGTGGTGCAAGTTCGTCTCCCTCACCTCTTACGTCACGTCGACGCTGACAGAAAACCTTGTAGGTGCCATGCTCTGGGGTAACGCCATCTACAGCATCGGCGCCATCTTCATCGCAGCCGCCACCACCGTCCGCTCATACAAATTCATGATATTCGGATCCATCGTCCAGGCATTCGGCGACATAGCCACGCAAGTCGCCCAGTACAAGGTCTTCAGCTCCTGGTTCGCACCTTCCAATGGCTTCGCATCGACCCTGGGCTTCGAACTCGGCATCGGCAAGATTGGATCCTTTGTCGGAAAGGCTACGGCGAACGTCATTGCGAAGAACACTGGCGACTTCAGTTGGGTGTACTGGGTTGCTGTGTTCATGAACCTCTTCACCAATGTTACCACTCTCCTGTACTGGTTCTTCACGCGATGGTGTGGGAAGAAGTATACTGGCACGGCCGATCCTGCGACTGGAGAACAGCTTACGGAGAACAACAAGAAGTTCGAGTTTGGAAAGGTTCTGCGACTGCCATGGACTTTCTGGAGCATTGTTGCATTCTCCCTCTTCCAGACCAGCACCGCCTCCGTCTTTGCCCAAAACGCGACTGAGTTCGCTGAGCAGCGCTTCGATATGGATGCCGTCAAGGCTGGCTGGTACTCCTCCCTGGCACAGTATTTAGGCTTCTTCCTCGTCCCAATCATTGGCATCTTCGTGGACATTCTGGGCAATCGCATCTCCCTGATGCTTGTCTGTGGCTTGGGCATGCTCCTATCCATGTGCCTGGCCACGTGGGGTCCAACATACGCTGGCACCGCAGCTTCATTCGGTATCTACGGTGTCGCATCCATGTTTGGCCCGACTGTCATAATCGACTCGATTCGCACGTCCATGTGGTACCAAGAGGTCTTCGGCTCTGGCTATGCTGTCAAGATCGCCGTTAATAACGCCATGTCCATCATCATCCGTATTATCACGGGCGTGATCCAGGATCGAGACGACAATTCTTACGATAATGTTGTCATCGTATATGTTGTACTTTCGGCTTGCTCAGTTGTGGTGGCTGTGAGCATGTTCGTCGGCTGCTTCTGGACGAGCGATCTTGGGCATCTCCAGTGGACTAGGCGCCAGCGCATCAGGAAGGGCGAGGTCATCAACGTGCGGAGGAAGGAGTTTGAGTGTGGCTCTGCCGGTGTGAGGAACAGGAAAATCAGCTTGTCGTTGTTTGTCGCCCTGTTATTCTTGGTAGCCGGTTCGTGGGCGGCTTACTTCTGGGGTGTTGCGACAGGCAACAATGTCTAAGGCTGTGGCGCCAACCGTCGCCATCAACAAGAAGCCTAACCTTTCGCAAATAATCATCCATAGCCGTTCCAGTCGTATACAAACCATCGCCGATCAGATTCAGCGCTATCGCATCCATATGTATGCAGCAA